GACCTAGGCTCCTTCTGTCTTCCAGGCCAGCGACCTTCACATGTGGCCTTCGCCCGCTTGCTTACAAGTTGTCTTCTCCACCCCCAGGCATGCCATCAGAGACTTCCTAGGGAGCAAGAACGAACGGGAAAAACAAAAGACACAGGACAGCTCTGTCTCCTCCTATTTGTTTTTTTTTTAAAAAAAGTTTATGTCTCATTGGTCAGAATTGCGTCACATCATCATCCCAGCAACGAGGGAGCCTGGAAAATCAATATTTTTAGGACAGCACATTGATCTCCCTTCTCCAAATAAAATCACTGTACCACAAATGAGGAAGAAGGAGAGGATGGATAAAGGTTAGGCATCCAGCAGTGTCTCCCAGAGCCCTAAAGAACGAGTAGAATATGCTCAGATGACGCGGGGAAGGACGTCCAGGCAGAGGAAATGGCAGGGGCAAAGGCTCTCAGGGTGGGAACGTGCCAGGTGTGCCGGGGGGATCAGAAACAGCCCAGTCCAGCTGCAGCTTGGGGTGTGAACGGTGGGAAGGCGGACAGGGCAGTTTGCGTGGTGCCCTCCTGCCCAAACACAGCCTCTGCGGCACAGTGGGTCAGGCCACGGGGACAAGCGACAGCAGACAATGGGCAACAGCCGAACAAGCCAAGGCCGGCTGCAACAGGAGATGGTGACTGCAGTTCTGAGAAAAGCAAATGATGACAAATCTCCTGCCAGCCTGGTAATGACAGCCACAGGGCAGCGGGCTGCTGGGCTGAACCCGTGGATACTCTCAAGCCAAAGCAGACACCCCTCCGCAGGACAAGATAACCTATTGTCCTGAATACACTGTTGAATGAGGGACATGCAGCAGCCTCTTGCCTGAGGTCTGCTTGTCACTGTCATTGTCCTTCCCCATGTCTGTCCTCCTGGCCCTTCCAGCCGCAGTGACCCACAGCAGGGTCAGGCGGAGCCCAGAGGCTGTGAGGAGGCATTGGTGTGGAGGGGCTGATTCCAGCCCTGGGGTATGTGACAGCCTTTATTTGACTCCTCCTGAAGGTTCCTGCAGTGGCATCTACACACGGACAGGGGAGGGCCTGCAGCCACCCTGTGCTGTACCTATGTCATCGATTCCTGGCTTTCTCGATTGGGAGGAACTTCAGACCTGTCAGTCATCAGCAAACCTGTCTACACTGGTGGCTCTCAAGCTTAGTGTGCATGTGAGTCACTCGGGGAGCCCATAAAGAGCACAGACTTGCAAAGACTCTGACTTAGGTCTGCAAGGAGCCCGGGAGTCTGCATTTTAACAAGCAGGTGCAATTGATTGGTTCCCAACCCTAATTTCTTTTTAAATTAACTTTTAACAAATAATAAATACAGCCCTAGGTTTTAGCCCCAGGTCTGCCACTAATTATAACCTTGGGCAATTCCTTTTCCCTCTCTGAATCTCAATTTCCTCACCTAAAAACAGGAGATGCTTCAGTCTAAAATTTAAAGTTCTCGTGCAGTTTCCCTTCAGCATCATTCCAGGCAGGTAATTCTCAGATGGGTTTTCATGGGGGGGGGGTGTCTGTTCTCTGAGAAGAGCTGCACCCTGAGGCTTGCTGACTTTGCTCTTAGAGATTTCAGAACATTTCATGTCAACCACAGTGTCCGTGCTGCCATGACAGCTTTTATCTGTCATCCTTGCTCCCAGAGCAGCAGTCCATAACCCGGACTCTTCAAGACGGACGCTTGTTGATGCCCATTTCTGCCTCCCAACGTGGAACCTCTCACTTTCCCTTGAGAACTTCTTCCACTGTGGACTCCCCTCAGCGAGGCTCATTTCTTCCTGCTGGCCTCCGAGGAGGTGGCGTCCCACGCCACACACCACTGTCACGGGCTTCGCGTGTTCCCCTTCCTCACTGGGTCTTCTTCTTGCCTCTGTGTTCTTTGCTTTACTTTTGGGGGACCCTCTTCAGTTGCCCACCTTTTATTGAAGGCCAGAGCTCCAGGGGTAGGCCAGATCATTATTTAAGGGGCAGGGCGTGAGGCTCTGGTAGCACTTTGATCAGCCCCCCAATCCACTTAGTTCTTTGGTTTCTGGAAGAATGCAATACCTCCAGCTCGTGGGGCACTGGGCTACAGTGCCGAATGCCAGAATGAGGGACCAAGGGCTGTAGCCCAATTCCCCACCTATTCCAGAAAACCCTCTGTAATGTCCCTGCGGGAGATCGAGCATTCCCAAATGTCCTCTTGGGGCGAGGAGGAACCAGCCCTGGTTAATTGGTTGGCAATGTGTCTCATGTTGTCTTTTTTGAGCTGAAATATTTTCCAGCTGCCCACTGGCCTTGAGTGTCCCACTGGAGTCACAGGAAGCCTCCACTTTGTCTTCATATCCACCAGTCCTTCAAGTAATGGCAAGGATGTCCCTTGTCTCCAAGTCTCTTCTCTGGGTTAAACTCCTAAGTTCCTGCATCTTTTCCCAGTTCACTGTGGTTTCCAGGCCTGTCACCCTGCTGGCTGTGCTCTACCACCAATGGGGTCGATTGTAGGGAGAATCGGGCTAATAAAATGAAGACTTTCTTCTTTACAACATCTCCCCCTTTCCTGTGCTGCTGGGAGCACCCCAGGCCAGCTACCGTGTCCTCTGCAAAGACCTTGCTATCTCTGCTGTGAGATTGACGTGTCTTCCTTTGGTCCCTAGCACCCCCTTTTCCACCTTACACCCTCGTCCTGTGCTTATTCAGTCTCCCTCTCCAGGCTTTTGTCGTGTCTGGGCCTAATTTGCTATCACTTCCCTCCTAGCACCTAGCATAAGGCCCAACACACAGCAGGCTCTCACTGAAGGTCTGATGAGTGAATGGATCTGTAGGAATAGCACACAGGAGCCAGGTATGGTGGCCACACCTGTAATCCCAGCAATTCAGGAGGCTCAGGTGGGAGGATGGCTTGAGCCTGGGAATTTGAGTCCAGCCTGGGCAAATAGTGAGACCCCATCTCTAAAATAATAATAATAATAATAATAATAATAATAATAGCACATAATGCATGTTGGGCTTATAGAGGCAAAGTGCTTTGAAAAGATATAAAGGACACACAAACATAAAGGGCATATATTTTCCTTCTTCTCTATCTTCCATCTCAGCCCCTCTCTCCTTCCAGTCTTCTCTCAGCCAGACAATCAGGTCGGCAGAGAAAATTAACCAAAATGTATTTGGGGAATGGGGAACTAAGTAAAGAGAGAATCTCATAGAACTTTCCCCGCCAATTCTGTAGTCTGGGCAGCTTGCTCCAGTGAGGGTTAATTTTTGGATTGCCAGTGCTAGAATCTCTAACAGAAGTCTTCCTCTCTCTCCCTTCCCTCCAGGTTATTTCCAAGGCTACTTATTTGGGAAATTCAATTCTCCCAAGAAACTACTGCCTGGAAAAACACCTCGCAGCACACATGGTGAACAAGGAGCGCATTAACGGGAGAAGGCAAACAGCGGCAGGCGCCGGACCAAAGCACCCATCAGGCCTGGAGGCTGGTACCAAAGCCACGTTGTTGTGCCTGGCCGGAGCTGCCCCTCCGCCCCCACCCCACACCCCCAGAGCCTGGGGGCTGCAGAGTCAATGGGCTATTGCTTCCCCGGGCTTCTAGGTTTGGCCCTCCCACTGAGCCTTTGCTGAGTGCCAGGGTCCCCTTCAAGTCCAGCTCCCTCCACGAGCAGAGCCTGGCAGTGCCTGGAGAGCAGGAGAAGTCACGGGATCCACGGCCCTGTTCTCAAGGAGCTCTCCGCCCGTCGGGGACACCCACCTGCCCGTCGGAAGTTAGGCGGAGAGGCCCCCACAGGCAGAGAGCTCAGTCGTGCACGCAGTTAAGCACAAACGTTTGCTGCTGCGAGGAAATCAGCTCCAAGGCGGAGACAAGGACCTCGCAAAGGTCAGAGGAGGGGCACGAGCGAGCGGGAGGCAGAGCACCGCCCTTCCCAACAGCATGGAAGGGGCTGTGCTGTTTGACCCAGCACAGGAACAGCAGGGGTGTGCGTGGAAGGGCGAGGGGTGGTGGCTGCACTCAGAGGCGTTCTCCACGGGAACGGAGAGGCGAGAGGGCTGTGTAGAACGAGGCACCTCTGGCCCGCGGGGCAAGCCACATTCTTCTCTGACGTGGGGTCAGGGAATGTGACAGAGCGGTTTGGAAAGAGGTAAGGTCGTAAAGTGGTGGGGCCTTGTGGACAGAGAGCTGAGCCGTGGCCTGTGTCACGGGCCAACACACTAAGTGACAGAACAGGTCCCTCTGGCCCTGTGTCTCAGAACTCAGAGCCAGTGCTTAACTTGGGAGAGGGAACCAGGATGGATGTGCTGGATCACCCTTGGGCCAAGGTGGTGTCTGGCTGAGTCCCCGGCTCCGTCTCAGCCGGGCCGTGCCCCTACCTCCACCTCCCCAGGCTACGGGTCACCCACCGGGGCGCAAGAGGATGGCAAAAACACCATCCACGGATGCTTCTGTGGCCACAAAAATGAACTTAGCATGCATCACGCTACCTCTCCCCAATCAAAATAAAAAGGAATCTGACAGGCTGGCGCCACAGGCTGTATCTAACAAAATGAGATTTAACAGGGATAAATGTCAGGTCTGAGCCCGGGTTTAAAAATTCAGCTGCACGAGCACAGAACGATGGAGGCAGGGCTCAGAAGTGGCGTGTGTAGGAAAGCTCTGGGGTTTTCGGGGACGGTATGATTCAAGGAGGTGGCAAAAATGCACATTCGCCCTTTGCCAGTGTGACGGTTTATAGTGTGCTCAGCACGTTCTCACGCTCCTGCTCGCCCGGGGGCACCCCGCACATGCTGTTCCCTCTACCTGGAATGCTCTTCCCGCCCCCAACTCCTGTAGCTGCTCCTTCCCACCCTTCGGAGCCGGGCTTGGATGTCATTTCCTCTTGTGAGCCTTCCTTAGCCCCAGAGCGCCCACGTAGCTTTGCCCGGTTATGCCCTTGCACAGCACCTTGTTTTCTGATTCATTGATAGATTACAGCGCAGTTAGAAACTATGTATTTATTGGTGCATTCACTGTAAATCCCGGAGGACAGGGACTGTTTTGTTTCCGTCCACACAGCAAACCCAAGGCCAAACACACAGGCACATGGTGTGTGTTCAACAAATATTTGCTGGGTAACTGAAGGGCTTGGAGAAGAAGAGGTTCAGGGAGCCCACGCGAGCTCCCATACCCGAGAGCCTGGCCGCCGTCTGTGTGATCCTGGGTTTCAGAGCTGAGACCAGTTTTTTCAGCAAACACTGACACAGCCCTTACTACGTGCCAGGGACTGCTCTAGCACTTTCTAAATATTGATTCAGTTAGTCCTCCTAACAGCCCTGTAAGGTGGGTATTCTCCCTGCTTTATGATAAGGAAACTGAGGCCCAGGGAGGCTAAATAACTTGGCCAAGGCACCACAGCTGCTGAAGGGCAGGGCCAGATTCGGAGCAGAAGTCCATGTGCTCACGCACTTCAATGTGAGGCCAGTGGTGGAAGCTTCTGGGCGTCTCCGCGCTGGGTCAGCAGAAGACACTCTCGGTCTGGGCGGTCCCACACCCACGGGGCAGCCTGCAGAGGCCCGGCAGCCAGTGTGCTGGGAGGCACACCCGCGTGGACACAGCGGCCTCCGTGGCCTCCGAGACCGGCCTCTCACCTATGCCCCGTCTGGGGCTGCCAGAGGGATAAAATGGATTATTGGAAATGAAGGTGCTTTGAAAACGCTTGAACGTGCTCCCTGAACACAGCAGCTTATTACCGTTCCGGGGCCGGCCAGGACGGGATTCTCGTCAGACTGAAGGTCAAGGGACGAAGTGGGGCAGAGAGATGGCTCGTGCTAAGTCACCCCATCTCTTCCCTCCCTGCTGGCCTCTCCCCACCCCCACTGCAGAGTCCCTCCCCCACTGCAGGAGCAGGCAGGGGAGAGCCGGCCAGCACAAGAAAGGACCGGCCGCTTGAAACAACAACTATCCCCACCTGATTTATGAGATTTGGGCCGTGCTGGGAGTTTTGGGATTAAACCAAAATCCTCTGGCCCATCCCGCGGTGGCTCGGCACCGGGTTTGTTTTCCAGGCAGATTGCCTTGGAATGCCCTGGAATTTTTCTGGCAATGGGGCCAGCACAGCCCAGGGAGAGGAGACTGGGGCAAGGAGAGGTAGCCGCATCCATCCTGTGGAATGAAAGGGGGGCCGAGGGGTCCCTGTGGCATCTGCCAGAGGAGCGAGGCAGGCAGGCAGCCTCACTTCTTCCCCTCTTCCCTGCTCCTGTCCCCGGAGCAGGCAGCGGGACCGGCCTGCAGACTCGCTCCGGTGGTTTGGCTTCCAGTCCGCCCAGGACGCTGCAGCAGCTGCGTGTGGTGGGCAGAGATAAGGTCTCCGCCAGCGGCAGGCAGTGAGCAGGGCTGAGCCGTCTGGGTGCTGTCGAGATGGCTGTGGGAGGGGACACACATGGAAGACACTGTCCTGCTGCCCATCTGAAGACAATAGTCAGCACCAGGGAGCACAGAGAGAGGGATGGAGGTAGTTACTACAGCCCCGGGCAAGGAGAAAAGGAGGGTAAACTATAGTGAAGAAAAAAATGACCAGACAAGGTGGGAAAAGAAAGGAAAAAAAGAGAGAGATGTTTTGCAACCACCCGGAAAGCAAAATAGAGGAAATGGCTTTATCTCTAAATTGCACTAGGAAGTATTGGATTAGACTGGAGGAAGAAGGGAGGCCCTAGCTTTTACCACTGGCGTGATTGACACGGTGTTCCAGGGATTGCAAATAAACCCAGGGGTCGGCTGGAGGGTGGAGCACTGGGAGTTGTGGGAAGACACAGCACCTAAGCGGTGGGCAGAGCCCATCAGAAGGGCCTTGTAGGTGGACCCAGGGCCTCGCGTTATCCTGAGGGTAATGGAGGAGCTGCTCCCCTGCTCAAGCCCTTCTGTGGACAGTTCCTTTCCTGCCTGTCTTTCCAGGGTTTTTACTGCCTACGATTAACTCCCTTCTGCTTGGCCTGCTCAAGTCCTGCCCATCCTCTGTGGGCCCTGTTCAGATTCCCTTTCCTCCAGGAAGGCCTCCTAGACCACCTCATTTCACCCATTCATTCAACAGCTGTGCGTTGACCTCTGCCAGTGGGCCAGGCTTTGTACGAGGCAGTGGTGGGGAGCAGCAGGTGTGCCCCACTCCAGGCAGCCTCCGGGGTATGATGGCGTAGGGTCCCCCTCTGACTCCCTCAGTATACCCAGCCAGGGGGCTCTCAAGGACAGTCCATAAGCGCAGTCCCCTCCCTCCAGGACAGAGACAGCTCTTCTTCCTCTCTGCATGCTGGGGGTGGCCAGCAGAGTGCTGGGGCCTCGGGTGCTAATGCACAGTTTTGGCATGTCTGGCCTTCCAGCAACGTTAAACTAAGTGGAAAGTTCTCCTGGCTGACACCCCCTCCTCTCCCCAGTCTCCCCAGTTCCAGCCCAGCCCCCCTGCAGAGAAGAGGGATGGAAACTGCCGCAGAAGCTTTGGCCCCAGGATGCAGGAAAGAACAGAGAAGAAGGGACAGGGAGGGGAGGAAACGTCTGGGCTGAATGCCAGCTCTGAGTGCCACGGGCCAAGCTGGGGCCGTGGTCCGCTATGCTCCGGAATGTGACAAGGGCTTGCCGGGGCATCGTGGAGTGAGCGGCTCCTCCCCAAGCCACTGGCTCCTTGCCCTGGACAGAGCCAGGCTGCTCCTGAGCCTCCCTCAAAGTGCACGGGTGCCCCACGGTGGACAGAAAGCAGGCCCTGGTCTCACTCCTCAGGGTTGTGTCCGTGGAGAGGGCTCAGAGGCCCTTGTCCCCCTGGCGTGTTGTTCCCTCCCTTGCAGGAGGTGAGCCTTGGGCTCCAAGGTCCAAGATCCTGCACTAGAGCCCTTTCTTTAACACATGCCCTTGGACCCAGACCACTTGCCTGGGCTCTCTGGCTTCTGCCTGACAGTCAGGTCAACCCCGGCCCCTGTGTCATCCTCCCCCAATGGGTCAAACATAGACCCACCCCCTTCTGGTGAGCGTGTCCCAGTGAAATCTTCAGGACAGAAACCGGCTCTCCTGAGATCAGTGTAAATGCCCAGATGGGGTTGGGACACCACGTGTCATTCTCCCTCCCTGGGGATGGTGGTGCTGACAGGCACCAGGCCCTGCCCCGCCCACAGCTAGCCGGCTCCAGGCCTGGTCCCCTGCTGGGCAGAGGCTTGTGGAGCAGAGCCAGAGGGAATGGAGGCTGAGAAGCCATAGAGGCTGGGGCACGGATGCTGTGGAATGTGGGAGCGTCCATTTTTTAACTTAAATTTTATTTTTTCCTGAGTAAATAGGCTGTATGCAGCTGCTGGAAGAGGGTGGGTGTTAGAAGCCTTCAGGAGCCCCTGGGTGGACGGTCCTATCCCTTTTGGCCCGTCCCGGGCCCCTGTGCTGGGCCCTCCGCTCCCAGGCATGCGCTTCCTGGAGGGGCACTGCCTAGTCCTGCCAAGGCGGCTAAGCCCCCGTGAGACCGAGGAATGCTGCGGGGACACAGCTCCAGTGCACAGGAAGCAGGCCTGGAGAATGTCAGGAGGAAACGGGTCAGTGATAAAGAGGGAGGAGCAGAGGGCAGCTGGGAGGGGTCAAAGGGTAAGGAACAGTCAAGCAGGGGAAGCAGCAGGGGCTGCAGCAGGGAGCGTGGGGCCTCCCCTGAGATCCATGTGCTAGGGGCTGGTTTAGGGGCTTTTCATTTCGTTTCACTTTCACTGACATATGAACTTAACCCTCCTTGCAGAAGGATGCTTACTGCTTTTACGGGTGACTGAGCCTGTGCGAGGAGTGATTTGTCCGAGGCTGAAGAGTGAAGTGGGATTTGAATGCAGGTCTAGCGGATTCCAAATGGCTCCCTAACCCCCAGTCAGCAGCTCACCTGAGAGAGAGGGGCCTGGATCCGTGCAGACAGGAGCACTTGAGCTCCAGAATCCTAGACTCTTAAGACTGAAATCAGGGTCCCCTACACCAGAGCTCTGCCTCCAGGAGAAATCAGGTGTCAGCCAGAAGAATGTCATGTCTTAATTAGGTGGTCAATTAATTTTGAGGGGAAATTAGAGAGCCAACAAACCTCTCTCCCCTCTCCCACCTCCCTCCCTCCCTTCCTGCCTCCTTCTTTCCCTCCCTGCCTCCCTCCCTTCCTGCTTCCTTCCTTCTTCCCTCCCTTCCTCCCTCCTTCCCTCCCTTCCTCCCTCCTTCCCTCCCTTTCTCCCCCTTCCCTCCCTATTCCCTTCTTCCCTCCCTTTCTCCCTCCTTCCCTCCCTTTCTCCCTCCTTTCCTCCCTTTCTCCCTCCTTCCCTCCCTATTCCCTCCTTCTCTCCCTTTCTCCCTCCTTCCCTCCCTTTCTCCCTCCTTTCCTCTCTTTCTCCCTCCTTCCCTCCCTATTCCCTCCTTCTCTCCCTTTCTCCCTCCTTCCCTCCCTTTCTTCCTCCTTCCCTCCCTTTCTTCCTCCTTCCTTCCCTTTCTCCCTCCTTCCTTCCCTTCCTCCCTCCTTCCCTCCCTATTCTCTCCTTCCCTCCCTTTCTCCCCCTTCCCTCCCTTTCTCCCTCCTTCCCTCCCATTCTCCCTCCTTCCCTCTCTCTGACATTATTTATGGAGCAATTACGACCAGAACAAACACGAAGAATCAACCCCTTCAGGAAACTGGGGCAGCTCCTTACATACTCCTCCCTTTCGGTATAGTTTTTTCCTACCTGTCCTTATTTCTCCACTTCCAAGTGCATTGTCAGGCCCAGCAGACCAGCTTCTCCTCCAGCCCCAGCTCCCCCTGTTTCAAGAGACAGAGGGCCAAGCTGCTACCGAGCCCCTCCCCTCCCAGGCTGCAGCATAGGGGGCAGTGACACCACAAACAAAGCCTGTGAGAGCCCCGAGCTTTTGGGCTCCTCTCGTACATCTGGACACAGCTGGCCCTGTGTCATAAGTCACGCTGAACTTCCAGTCCTGGAACAAACGAACAGTTCTTGGCTTCCGGCCTCTTCCCATCACAGCCGCTGACCCGACTGTCTCAGATGCCCAGAGACACTCACCACACCCCATTCCTCTTTGCTGCATCGCAGAGCAACGCTCAGAGCACCGTCACCCACACGGGCCAGTCTCGAAGTCGTTGCCACCAAATAAACTCAGTCCAGCAACCAAAACATATTTCAAAGCAGCTCAAGTTATCTGTACACATTCTCTAGTACTATGAAGATGGGGTAGCCCAAAGCAAATACTTGTCGAGAGCCTGTTTTTTCCTCTTGTTTCTATACATGTCAAATCTGATTCTGCACTTTTGCTTTTCAAAACTCTCACCTCCCAAATTCCTCTTCCAGGTCTAACCACACACCCTTTCCCCTTTTCTCCCCTTTCCTCCTGATTTTGCACACAAAACCCTAAATACACAGTCCGGCATGGCAAGACCCTTCCTGGAGAGAGGAGAGGAGAAATAAGATGACTGAGTAAAGCCAGTATCCTCTTTCCTAGGCGGGGAGATGGAAAAGACCAGAAACACTCATACAGTGCTACTTTATTTTCCCCATCACAATAGCTGTCACCCCAGGGAGCCCTTCCAGATCACTCCAAGCCCCAGATGGGCAGAATAATCTCTAGACAAAGTGACCATATATTGCAGACTACTGTGGTCAGCCTTGATTAAAAATATTTTATTCTAATTTCAAGCTACAATGGGCTACCATTAGTCAGTTGTCCCAATTTTGAATTGGGAAAATATGGTCACCATGTCTCCGACCCATTCTTCCTCTTAGCAACCCTAGTATATTCTGCCTGTGTTAAATGCTTACTATATGCTGTCAATTCTTTTAGTGTCTGCTTGGTCATCTAGAGACTGTGGGTTCCTCAAGGTCCCAAACTATGTCTATTTTCAATTTGTCCTAAGCTTCATGAATAAGTCTATATTAGTTACCTAATGCTGCATAACAAATCTCTTCAAATATTAATGACTTTAAACAACAATGATCATTAATTATCCCTCATTGCTTCTATGGACCAGGAATCTGGGAATGGCTTGGCTGGGTAGTTCTGGCTTGGGCATTCTCAGGAGGTTGCAGTAAAAGTGTCAGCCAAGACTGCAGTGTCCGAAGCTCGACTGGGGGTGGAGCATCCATTCGTAAGGCTGCCTAAGCATATGGCTGCCAGGTTGGTGCTGCCTGTTGGGAGAAGGCCAACTCCTCTTCAAGTGGGTCTCTCCATGAAGCATGATCCTCCTCAACACATGGTAGCTGGGTTCCAAAGGTGAGCATCTTGAGACAGAGAGAGCCATGCAGAAGCCAATCCCTGTTTTATGACCTGAACTTCAGAAGTCACATGGTGTCTCTTCTGCTGTGCTCCATTGGTCAAAGCAACACCAAGCCCCCACCAATTGTAAGGAGAGGGAATGTAAACCCCTCCTCTCAGTGGGAGAAGTACCAGTCACTAGTAAGAAGAGCAGGTGGGATTGGATACATATGTAAGTGTGGCCGCCTCTGGAAAATACAGAGTGCCATAAGGTCTCTATTTTGAGCATGTAACAAATATTCATTGGTGAACAACAGTCTCTGCTGAGTCCAGCCTTCCAGCCATCCCTGCCCAAGTGTCAGACATGTGAGTGAAGCTGTCTTGCACCCTGCACCCTTATGATCAGCCTTTTACCAGCTGAACATTGAAACGACCTCAAGCAAAAACACATGGAACAGAAGAACCAACCAGCTGAGCCCTGCCACAATTTCTGACCCACAAAATCTCAAGATATAATAAAATGGTTGTTGTTTTGTGCCACTAACTTTTGGGGTGGTTTATTACACAGCAATAGTTAGCTAGCACAGTATATTAGTACCTTACTTGCCTCCCTTATAGGGTAGTTGAAGTCTTTAGTGAAATTGCTTGGATAAAAGAACTCTGAAAGCGAGAAGTTAAATCCTCATCACACAGGGGCAGAACAACCGGTATGAAGGAGGATAGACAAAGATCCCTAAGTAGGTGGTGTTGAGGATAAGACACTATTAAAATGAGAATAACTAAGGCTCAGAAAGGGTGTACAATGGACTGAATTGTGCCCCCTCCCCATTCATATGTCGAACCCTCAACTCCCAATGTGACTGCATTTATTTGGAGATAGGGCTTTTAGGAGATAATTTAGGTTAGATGAGGTCATAGGGTGGGGTCCTGAGACCCCACCCTATGGAAGAAGAGAAAGAGAGAAATCTCTCCACATGTTTACACCAAGAAAAGACCACGTGAGCACACAACAGGAAGGGGGCTGTCTGCAAGCCGGGAAGAGAGCCCTCACCAGAGCTTGACTATGCGGCATCTTGATCTCAAACTTCCAGTCCTTCCAATCTTGAGAACTATAAAAAAATAAGTGTCTGTTGTTTAAGCCATCCAGGCTATGGTATTTTGTTATGGCAGCCCAAGCTTACTAAGACACGGTGATTGCCTAAGGTCCCACTGGCAGTAAGCAGTCTTGGGGGGGGGGGGGTTGGGGCACTTTACTTTCCTGATTCCTGGCCCATAGTTTTTTCTGCTATCCTCACTGTCTCTGAGAGGATGCATAAACTCGCTGCCCTCTGCTCTCTGGGCATCTTGTGGGCAAGTTTCTTTGACTAAACTGGTAGTGCTACATGTGGGAAGGAAAAATTGGAGAAGTCAACTTTATTTTAAGCCAGGCCTGCCTCCTAAGGAGCTGGTTACCCTTGCTCAATATTTTACCAAAATTTCTACCCACTGGAGGGTCATTGAACCCCTCTCAGACTCTTCAGATCCCTCAGGACAAGTGCTCACAGACAGGCTAAACAGAGAGCCGAGCTATCACCCGGGTTTCCACCTGGGGAATAGTTGGCTCTGCCCATCTCTGTATCATTCCTTCCATTGGCTTCTGGAGGCAGAGTGGCCTTTGTATCTTCCCCTGGAGCTGTCATCCAGGGCTCCGTCTCACCCTGCTGTTTTCCTGGAAGCTGGTGGGTTCAGACAGGAGTTTGGTGGGGTTAGACAAGGTGGGGAGTATGGTTCAGCAGAAGGTCTGGGAATTAGAGAGCCTAGAGTCGGAGTTGGGATGGGACAAGGAGAAGGGAGTGAGCTCCCTTCTTTATTTAGAGGAAATCGTTGGTGCAGTCCCAGCCTGCCAACCCATTTACTCTGACTTCCCTTTTCCACTAGCCTTTCTGTAGCCATGACCTCCATGTCTGTTTTTGCCAAACGCAGGAACAGCATCACCATTTCCAACAATGGAATTTTCTACTTTTCTCCAAAGACACCACCTACAATTTCAAAACAGATTTTTCACCTTCCCTCTTTTCACAAACTGCTCTTATAATCTGCCCAGATTTCTATATGTTGTGCAATTCTGCATTCTCTCTAGGAAACGGTAGAGTGAGGAGTTAACATTGTGGGCTCCGGAGTCAGATGGACCTAGGTTTATATCCCAGCCTGCCTTTCAACAGCTGTATAGCCTTAGGTGAGCTACTTAGCCTCTGTGAACCTTGGCTTTCTTTTCTGAAAAGTGGAACAAATAATTGTCTCTACCTCATAGGGCTGTTGGGGAAATTATACCAGACAGACCACATCGAGGGCCTGGCATACAGTAAGTGCTGGAAAATGTTAGACATTATTTAGACTCTCATTGCTTGGTTAGGTTTGGTCATTACACAACTGAGTCCTCTTTTTCTTTATCTGGAAGACAAGGAGCTGGGGAAATTTAGAGACAGGGAGATAGAAATGGATGGGCTGGACTCAAGGTGTCTCTGTTCTCCATTCCTCCAGGTCAGACAGGGTGGGCTGATGAGTTCAGAAACATTCCTGAATTGGACAAGAATCCTTCAGACTAGGGATGGGTGGTTATCCTCTCTGTTCAACTCATTCCTTCCAGCCTCGGGCTCCTGCCTCACAGGATCAGAGGAAATTCATCAAGGCAAGGCGTAAAGACAAAAGCCAGCTTTGGAGGCCCTGAGAACACCCCCTGGAGAACAGGGAGAACGAACATCTACGGTCCTGTGTGTGCCCATGTCAGTGGGTGTATTTGAAAGTGGAAGAAACCTGGAAAGGGCAGAGCTGAGTGAGGACGTTAGCTGAGCAAGTCACCCCCACTTTCAGGAAGTCTGCCCTGACTCCCTCCACCCAAAGGCTAGGGAAGTCCCCAGTTTCCCTTGGGGACATGAGCCAGGGATTTATGGTGCGGATGATCTGGACGTGCTCCCTCCTTCTGCAGCCCAAGTCCCTTTCTCCCTCCTGAGGTGTCGAGACAGTGAGCAGACAGCCAGAGGTCCCTCTTTTCCTAGGCAAGAATATTTTCCGAGTCTGTGCGTGCAGCCTGTCCTGGGCGGGAGGCCCCTGATGGCAGCAGCTTCCATGGCTCCGCCTCGCAAAGTGGGGAGGGGACAGTGGGGGGGGGGTGCAAGACTCACCAGGTCGCCCTTCGGAGGAGTGGGGTGAGGCGGCTGGCCAGACGTCAGGGCGGCTGGGCGCTGAAGGCTCAAAGGTCAGCAGAGACCATGTCTGGAGTCTAAGCTGCCCCGCCCCCCAGCAGGCACCGAGACATGCCACATTCACGACCCATGACACCAACAAGGAACAGAGGCGGCAACAGCTACGAGATTGCAAAACATTTTCCATCCCCAGCCCCCGTTCTGGTAACTTCTCTCTTCCTTGCGCCTGCTGCCAGTTTTTGCATATTTGCTTGAGATGAATGAATAACTGGATTCAAGCCTTTTTGGTGTCTTTTTTTTTTTTCCAGTGAAATGTTTGGAAAATGACTGCTAGCACTACAACAACCTTCTGGTTTGTTGTAGACAAACAACAACAACCTCCTGGTTTGTTGTTTGTTTGTTTTTTAAGGGAGTGGGGTCGGAATAAGTTTTTCTTCTTTTTAAAGACACCTAAAGACTCAGGTTTTTGTAGGACAATGACTGCCTGTCTTACATTTCCTTAAAACGTTCCAGTTCTTTTGGAAAGCCTGTTTGCTAAATCTATACACATATACGATTTAAATGTATAATCTTGGTTCACAAACTCACGTGTGTAGGATATGTGACTTTCTTTAATCTTCTTTAAGAAATTAAATTTTTATCTTGACTTTTCAGTCATTTGGGCTGGCAGAATCTTAGTCTCGGTCAATTCAGGAATCAACCTCTCTCTCCCCAGCGTTGTGTCTAAGCTATGGGTTGGATTGGGCCCAAGATCTGATACTCGGGGTTGCCTGTTTGCAAAAGCATCCGCTGAGAGCTCCATCACTCCACCTGGTCCTGGTCAGGGAGCTTCTCAGACGGGGGAAGGTGCCCCTTGTTCCTGACCTGTGTCTCTGCAGGTTGGTGGCTCTCTCTGTTACTTCCCTGCTACTCTGCAATGACTCTGAGGCCCCACCACATGCTGGAACAAACAGGAGATTATATACCAGGAAATCAATTGTTTCCTCCTAAGAGTGCATGACCCGCCCAAGGCATCCCATGCAGCATTCTTCTCTGAGAGCTTGTTGCTCCCTGGAGCTGTCCCGCTGGAGCTGTATAGAAGGCACAGACCCTCCTGTTCTCAGCTCCCTCTTACCTCCTGGTATTGTGTCCCTCTCTGGGGCTCAGCCTGGTCATGGGTGAAGAAACAGGTACAAGGGCTCACTTCTCCAAAACTCGTCATTGTCTCTCTGTTCTCTTGTTCTCCCCCATCCTGCACAGCTGAGTTTTAGGAGCTGCCAGTCAGGCAGGGGGAAGGGAGCCTTATGAAGCTCATCTACCACATCCTGTATCTAATCTACGTTATCTAGTCGAGGAGAGGGGCAGAAAGTCTTTTGCTGGGTGGATACGACCCTGCCTTGAGGCTTTGGGGAGGATGCACAAAAGAGCAGAAGGAAATACCGGGGGGAACATAAGTTAGTATTTCAGAAAATGTTCTTGCCCCACCTAAAGACTCCCAGCTTTTTCATATGGGGACCATATGTCTGGCATTTTCTGTGACAGTCCCCAATGGGAGTAATTTTATCCTTTAAAAGGAGACCCTCTGTGAAATCTCTAGCTAAATATGTGCTAGATTGCACCCTCTGGTAGGTCTTTTTATATAGAAACATTGAAAAGTGCAAGCGGGGAGAGGGTGGAGGGCCCTGAGTTCTGCCACCGTCCACACGTGTGCCCCTGCGTTCCCCTGTGCTGACTGCAGGAAGGCATTTCCCAGAAACCCCTTCCAGAGCAGGGTGGGGTGCCCCTGAGCACTTCAGTTTGGGGGACCGTGGCTGTGCTCCCGGCTGTCCTGGGGCTCCCCCAGCCTGCCAGGGCAGCCGGCCCCTCGGCCCGAGAGCCGAGCAATCCTTTCTGCCCCAAGCACTCTCCCAAGTGGCCACGCAGGCCAATTATGCCTGAACTTGGAGTAGTGGCAACTACATCTGTCACTCCTCCCTCATCTTGTCCTTGCTCTTGTCCGCTACCTGCAAGGGCAGCATCCCTGACTCTCCCGGCATACAGGTAGCTTGCAATCAGGGTTTGCTTTACCTAGTGAGCTGTTCTCAAAGCAGCAAAGGTTACTCCGGCTTGTTTGGGTCACCTTGGAGCCTGACTATCCTCTGCTCTTCCCGCCCCACCCACCGCCTCTACGTCGCCCCAGCTACTCCCATGACTTCAGCCACCACCCGCCTGCAGATGACCCAGATCTCTGTCTCCAGCCTGCGCGTGCTTCTCACCTAAACGCCACACCTGTGTACCCCCTGCCTGCTAGACAGTTCCACTTGGATGTCAAATTTGAAATGCCTCAAATTCAACCTGTCCAAAGGTGAGCTCATTCATTTCCCCCGTAAGGCTGAACTCCCTTGTGTTCCATACCGTGGTGAGCCACACTTGACAGTATGCATGTCCGTGGATGGGCTTGGGGGCGGTCTTTGAACCTCCTGAAATTGTGTGCAAGATTTTGTATGCATATATGTTTCTTCCTGCAGAAAGGGACAACAGCTTCTTCAGATCCTGACTGAGAGACAAAAGGGCCACTGAGCTACAGAGTCAGCCTCCTGTGTGTTTCTCTGGCTTCATCTCCTGGCAGCCCCCCCCCCCCAAAAAAAACATATGCTCCATGGGCACCGACTGACTCTTGTAGTTTCTGGAAAATGACATTGATTTAAGGCAAGCCGGTCCTTCTGCCTGAAGGGTGTAGCCCACCCTCTTTGCCTGGAACCTTCAGGAGACACCTCCTCTGGGAAGCCTTCCCTGACTGACCCAGGTAGTAGATCAACTCCTCCCTGGGGCTCCCAAGTCCACATGGCACCTGTCACACTGCAGGGCAGCTTCTTGCACCGTGGGTGTTCCTCAGAATCTGCCGTGCACCTTTTAATGCAATGCAGCTGTTCCAGCCCTGCCTCCACCCTGGTGAATCAAACTGGTCTGAGGCACACCCTGCATGGAAAACACAACTGTAGGCACTTTCTTTGCATTCATGCTTCTTTGATGCGCTAGACTATGAGCTCCTGAGGGTGGGGATGTGGTCCCGGTCAACTCTCTAAGCCCTAGGGCACATAGGACAGTGCCAAGGAATAATAGTGTAAGTGAGCCCCAGCATGGCGTTGGCTGTGTATGTGCCAGGCACTGTCCTAAGGGATTTACGTGTATTAGCTCATTCAGTATCCTCACAATTTCCCCATGAGGTCTACTATGAATCCCATTTATAGATGAGGAAATGTTTGGTGCATGAATAAATGAGTGAATCATACTTTCTAGAGAGCTGATTATTTCAGAAAAATCTGAACAGGATTCATTCTCTAACATGACTATCTTTTGAATAAATTCAGATTTTTCAGCTGGTGATTGTAACATAGGTTATTAGTTGTGTCCTAAAACATGCCTTCCCCGGCCTTCTGGGAATAAAAACTACATCTCCCAGCCTCCCTTGCAGCTGGGTGTGGACATTGGAGCAAGTGGTCAGTGGGATACAAACCGTGGTGGTGTTTTTTTTAGAGTCACGGTCTTGATCTTGCTCTTGCTCAGGCTGATCTCAGACTTCTGATCACAAGTGATCCTCTTGCCTTGCCCTCCCAGAGTGCTAGGATTACAGGCATGAGCCCTTTGGGACATAAGACAGAAACATACATAGGACATGGGCCCTGCCCTGGGGACCTTGCATGGTGATGTGAAAACAAGTACAATCCAAGACCGTGGGAGGTGGGTGCAGAAGCATTCAGCTCAGACTCTAAGTCCACAGAGTTGAGGGGCAAGAAATGTCTCATTCTGTTCTGACCATGTCCAGGAAGACCCATTCGAGTGGTGGCAGACCCAGACGGAGGATGCCAGAAACCCACCCAGGAAGCCCCTGGACAGTCCAGCCTGAGCCAGCTTCTCCCCCAAAGTGGGGGTAGGGTGGCACGGGACAGAGGCAGAGAGTGCCACCAGGGAGGGAGAGGATGGCATTCTTCTTTCCTGCCTCCTTCTTTGGCCAGGAGCCGCAAGACCCAGCCTCCAACTACTATCTGCTCTCTTAGGATGAAAGTGATCAGAATATTTTCAATCATAAAGTTATTACTTAAATCATAAAGTTATTATGAAGGGCAGGAGGCAGGTGACCATGCCCATTCCCCGTTATTACCCCTAAGCTGAACGAGACCACAGACTCCTGCCCCTTACCGTAGCAGGATTACTGGTGGGGCCACTCCCAGCCAGAGGTTCGTTGGGAGGACGAGTGGGGTGAAGGTCGGCAGGAAGGACCCCAGATCGCACTGTAACCAGGGCACCCGGGGGACTCCCACCCTCGCTCTCTCTCTCAGGGACCTTCTCGTCCACAAGCCTTCCCCACAGTTGCACGCCACGTCTCCTCTCTGAGCTTCCCACAACTCACAGACGTCCACACGTGACTCGACGCCCGGCTTCCCCCCGCCGGGATCCTCCTCTGCCCGGTCTGCTCGTCCTGGCTTCCCCAGGGAGCCGTGACCCCCACACATCCCAAACTCCCCGCAGGAGCAGGCCCCCACCGGGACACGGGAGATTTGGGACCGCCTGACTGTTCCACTTACTGATGAGTCTTTACAAATCCCCTCGTCCCCAGTGAAATAGCCTCCCGCCATCTGAGTGAGTCATTTGCTCTTCCATTTCCACATAGATCCTAGGGCTGCCCCAGCGATGTTTTCTAGAGAACAGACCTTGCAAGAGCTAAACAGGTCCCTGAACTCTGGACCCAGACTTCTTGGATTCAAATCCCCAGCCCTGCCACTTAACAAACTGCACCTTCGTAGACAAGTCCCTTAACCTCTCTGTGCCTCGTCTGCAAAATGGGCACAATAAGAGCCCCCTACCTCATAGGGCCGGTGTGAGGCGGGAATGAGCACGTGCATGTGCAGCGCTTAGAACAGCGTCTGCCACACAGCAGGAGCTTATTAATCAGATGCATGTGAGTCTCGCACCATCTCATGGGACTCTCACGACACAGGAAAGTGGGTAAAAATATCTCCTCTTCAAAGGAGAGGAAACCAGCGTCAGAGAGATTAAGCGAATTGTCTCAGGCTCCTAAGTGACCGCGTGGCTACTTGGAGCTGAGATTCTGAGCCCCGCAGACGTGGCATGCGGAAGCCCTGCGTTCTGGCCTCCCTGCCGTCCCTCCGTCCCCCCCTGCTCTGGCATTCCTGTGGTCTCCCCGCAGATTCCTGAAGCCTCCCAATA